CAGTTACCTCACATTTTCACTCAGGGCTGCTTTCGAAACACTGAACAATGATCTCTTTGTTCTTGCTAGAAAATACTTAAGAAGGGTCAACTTTATTATCTCCCATTTTTATTATCTCCCAGAAGAGAGAAACTAAAGGGCAAAGTGACTTGTCTACGAAATAATTCAATGCGCCTGTGTTTTCAACTTCTCTCCTTTATGGTTAAAAGGTCATTTCATCAGAGGCAGAAATCATGGCGTGCATAGATTTTTCTTTCATTCATGGCCAGACCAAATGTGGATCCTTGATAAATATTACACATGCAGATAATAATATTACACAGTGAAGATGAAGTCTTGAGCCTAAGGGAACTCCCACTCAGGATCAAGGAAGGAAAATCTTGGCCTTTACCTACCCTCTCTCTGATGGGCTAAGTCAAGAGAGAAGCATGGATTGGATCTCTGCAATGTGCTTTGGTTAGGATTCAACCAGCCCATCACCCTTGTGGGATTTCTTTGCAGTAGACCCATGTGATGGGAATCTGTGAGCACCTAAGAGGACAGAAGTTAAATAATTCACCAGAACATTCTACAAATTGGCTTAGATACACAGGCTTTCCCATGGAAGAGCTCTCTAGTCTGAGCCAGATATAGTTGTCCAAGCAGCTGCTGGTCTGTCAGCCATGCACACCCACAGTCAGTCCTAAATGTTTTACTTACAATTCAGGGCCTGAAGCAGTTAGATGACAGTGTTTGCAAATGACATACATTCTGGAGGAAACAGGCAGCATGCCCAACTCATTGCTATTAGTAATAATATGGTCTTATGGAAAGGCCTTGAACAGAGAACTTGGCTGAGGGGAAAAATATTTCTCCAACATATGTTCTTTACTAGAGGAACAATGGAAATATCCTAAATATAACTCATTTCTGCAAGAGCTTTGCTTTCAAGAAGTTGACTGAAATAAATTCCCATTTTACAAATGGGGAAACCTAAGTATGGAGTTTCCCATGAAGTCCGGGACTGTTAGCTCTCTAGAGTCTGTGTGGCTCCTATCCCCCAGAATTATAGTTACGTTCTCCTTAACTCTCAGCCTGCCTAGTTGATGTTCCTCAAAATGCCATAAGACAAAGAACACTTTTTAAACTCATTACATTTTAAATAATGAAATTAAGATGCCAAGTTTATAAACTGAGGTATCTTCTATTACATATGCATGGCAACCCTCCCATACAAGCAGCCACCAACCTATATATGAAGCCCTTTAGAGAACTATGAGGAAAACTCTTGTCTCCTGGTAACCTCTTGGTTTCCCCAGTTCAAGGAACTCCAGAGGGTATAACTACTTAATCTTAACATCCCTTCTGAGATAGGAAGAGGTGGTCTCCCCGCCCAGTCACAGGCCCTGGGCCCAAGAAGTTTCCAGAGTCAGGCCTGGGTTAGCTCCAAATTCTTAATCCTGGAATAAAATGCCCCAGAGGCTGGGAGGAGAAGGGGTGTATATTAAGCATTTGATGACTAATATATACAATGTATTTTTGGAAACGCAGGTGTCAACCTACTTAGGAAGTTGATGTGTGGAGAGGATAGGAGCAGGTGTTGAGCTCAACACCTCTGTGATGTGGGAGATTTCCTCTCCACTGAGAGCTGCTGTGAAGGAGGCCACAGCTCAGAGGAGTGATTTCAATTAGTTTTAGGTGCTCTCCTCACTGATGTTTTTCAAAAGTGCATGTCATTATCAGCTGAGAGTTCATCAAGCCTTCACCCCGGGCTTCCTTGAGGCGTGTGGGTCACAGCCTGTGTGGGCGGGTGAATGAAGTTCCCGCTGGGCAGCTGAGGTGTGCTTGTGTGTCATTTCTCTTCTAAGACCCCACAAGGTCCCAAACAGTCCCTTATAGCCCTTTCTCTGTCCCACTTCTGTTCTGACCTTGCCCTCAGACTCTGTGTCATCTTATTCCAATTTTTATCGATATTCTTGGCCCCAAATCAGTGCCTGCTGAGGGGTGGGGCAAGAGAGGAGGTGCTGCTGTGCTTTCACTTTCTCTCCAGAGAATGTTTCCATTTCTTTCTTTCTCTGTCTCCACTCTTACCCCTCTCCTAAGCACTCCTGTAGTGGACAGAAAATCACTCCCCACCCCAACCCCTGGTACCAAAATGCCCACCTCTCAGTCCTCAAAACTTATGACTATGTTACCTTCCATGGCAAAAAGGACTTTGCAGACACTATTAAGGTTCTTGAAATCAGGAAATCAGACTCTTGAAATTATCCAGGTGGGCTCATGGCTCACGGATGTCCTTATAGGAGGGAGGCGGGAAGGTCAGTGCCACAGAAGATGATGTGATGATGAAAGCGATGATGATGAAAGGGAGACAAAGAGAGGGACACACAGAGACAGAGGCAGAGAGAAAGGAAGAGACCAGAAGATTCTATACTGCTGGCTTTGAGGAGGGAGGGGGCCATAAGCCAAGCAATCTCTAGTAACTGGGAAAGGCAAAGAAAGGGATTCTCCCCTAAAGCCCAAAGGAACTAGCCCTCCAAACCCTTGGGTGGCCCAGTGAGATGCATGTTGGACATTTAACCCTCAGAACTATGTTGTTTATAGCCACTTAGCTGTGATCACTTGTTATAGCAGCAATAGGAAACTAATACAGCTCTCATCACAAATGTCTAGATCATAACATATCAAGAACATGGGAATGTGACAAGACTAGGGAGCTCTATCTACCAGGCCTTTTCTCCTCCTTCTGCTCCTCATCTCTCCTTCCCAGTGTGGCCCCAGTGTGAACTGTCAGTATCGACCTCACCTTTGACCCCAGACCTACTTCCGGTCAGACAGTGCCTCACCTACCTGGGCAAAACAGCAAAGATCACAAATAGAGTCCTTTTGGACATCCTCCTTTAAATACTAACAATAACAGAGGGTCAGAGGCACCCCACAAATCTGAGCTGAATGCATTTGGCTCAGATCGTGTGGAGAAAAATGAGTTCACTGGAGAAAACTTAGGATGGAAAACATGTGCAAAGCATTATACCCAGGTCATTGCTTTGGATGCAAACTTCCATGATAGACAATCTACATGTCCCAAGACACAAAGACTGAGATTCATGACTTAAGGTATGTGACCTTTAGAAAAAACATCTGCACCTGACTCTTCCCCTTGTCATGACAGGAACCAAGATAAATACCAGCCTCCAAATTTCCTTTTACAAAATAATTGTGGTATTATTGTTCATCCTTTTTTAAGCACCTTGCATGTCCTAAGAGGATAGATCATATGGAACAAGACCTAGAGCTGCCCCCGAGGCCTCCCATACATGCCCAGGAACATGATAAAGTAAGTGGGCAAAATAAGAGATGGCCGGGGACACAGGCCACCAGCACGGGCCATCATTTCTTGGCTCTGTGGTCAGTGTGTAACCTTGCTGCAAGGGTCACAGAACAAGTAGCTTGGATGACAGAAGTCTTCTAAATTTCTTCTTTTAAAACTTATTGAAAATACCTCAGTTGTCCTGAAAGGTAGAGGACACTTCCCATACAGAGGAAATTCTACTCATAGGCCATGGAGACATGTCCTTCTTAGTGAAAAACACAGGCGAGGACCACCAGGAAATCTTTTTGGAGACCATGAGCCTCAGAAAAAGCTGCTCATCATACTTTCCCAGCATCTCTCACATTTCAAACCAACCACAGGTAAAAGAAATCACCAACCAGTCACAAAAGAACAAGTGCCATGTGGTGCATCTTATATGAGGTTCCTAGGGCAGACGTGCTCTTAGAGACAGAAAGTAGAATGGGGTTGCCACATGCTAAGAGGAGGGCATGGGGAGTTTGGTCTAATGGGTTCGGTGTTTCAGTTCTGGAAGAGGGAAAAGTTCCCGCAGGTGGTGGCCAGGGGCACGCAGTAATGGGAATGTATTTAATGCCACTTGACAGTATATTTTAAAATGTTAAAAAAAGACCCCACAATGCCCATGAGCTGGTAACAATTACAAATGATGTAACACAATGGAATACTGCTCAGCTATTTAAAGAAAATCCTGCTGTTTGCAACACCTGGATGGACCTACAGGGTGTTATGCTTGGTGAAGTCAGTAAGATGGAGAAAGACAAACACCACATGATTTCACTCACAGGTGACACATAAAGATACAAAACAAACGAATGAATTAATAAAACAAAAACCAACGTTTCGAATACAAGGCCAATAAGTGGGCACCGCAAGGGAAAGAGGAGTGGGGGGGAGCAAACTGGGTAACAGGGGTCAACTGTACAGTGAATGATAGAATTGGACTTTTACTGAAGAACTTCCCTCTACAGACATTGATTTATAATCATGCACACCTAAAACCTATTTAATGTTATAATACAATGTTACTTCAAAAATACTAAAAATAGGGCCTCCCCGGTGGCGCAGCGGTTGAGCGCTGGGTTGCGAAGCTGCCCGCGGCCTCTGTGGCGCCGGTTCGATCCCCGGCTGCTTCCTGGCCACCGGAGGAGGGTCCCACATGGCGCGCAGACCTCTCCTGCCGCCCGCTGCTCCCCTCAGCAGTGTACCTCGGTCCTTCTGCCTGCTCTGCTCCCTGCTCTGGCTCTGGTGAATTCTCTCACCCTCCCGCGCTTCTGACTGTACTCAGTGCATGTATAAACAAAACAAACAAACAAATAAAATAAATAAATAAAGCATGCCTCTATTAAAAAAAAAAAAATACTAAAAATAAATAAAATGAAACTGGTAAAAATGGTAACTATTATGTATATTTTACTATTAAAAAATCCCTCTAACCCCCACTTCTGCCCACTCAACTCTACCACAAGCTGTTCCCTCATACTGAGCCAAAGCCCTAAACACCTAAAACATTTCTTCCTCGGAATGATTCTTTTCATTGTTGCAGAGGAGACCAAGACAGGCCACCTGGTGGAATACGAGAGCACTGGAGATGCCCCGCCCCCCAAGACAGGTGAGTGCCCTCCCTCGCGGGGGCGTGGCCTCCCAGGGCTGGCGGAGGGGGCGGTCCTACCTGGTTTGAAAGTGCTGCTGGAGATCACAGCGCTGCAGCACCTCACTGCAGTGCTCCGTGAAAGGGCAGGTCACCAGCAGCTTGTTGAGGAGCTTGTTGACCAGAATGCTGGACTTCTTGCAGTGCTGCAGGACCACCGGCTGGCGGTCCACCGGGCAAAAGTCTTTCTCCACCAGGAAGTTCGTGAGGCAGACTGTGCAGTAGGTGTGCCCACAGGGCGTGTCCAGAGGGTCCAGCAGAGCTTGCAGGCAGATGTGGCATATGAGATCATCGTCCACGTCGTCCGTGTAGGTGTAGAAGTGGTTTTCCTCAGAGGAGTGGGCTTGGCCACACACGGCACACAGCGGGTCGGGACTGGACTTCGAGTCATCTGCAGGGTCCAGCTGGCTCATGGTCGACCAGGGGGACAGTATGACAGGAAATCCAGTAAAATAATATGTCCTTGGAGCAAATCAAGATCTTCTAGAAGCCATTCACAAACCTAAAAGAAGAAGATGGCTCATCTTTGTTTTCAAAGGTTCCACTTGCTTTGAACATGAGGCAGTGGACAAGGCACTGAACTATGACCGGGAAGCCAGGGTGGAGTGGCCACTCCGGGCACTTTGCCATGTGCCTTCTTTAACCCAGCGGGAAGAATGTTTACTTTTAACATTTTTATGTTGGTGTGTCAAAAATCCCTTGGGTAAGAATAAATCAAAAGACATACACTGGGTTTTCCTGGTGGCGCAAAGGGTTAAGTCTCAGCGCGATCAAGCTATCCGCAGCCACTGCAGCATGATCCCCAATTGCACAGCAGACCTCTCTTGACTTGCCCGCGGCTCCCCTCAGCAGTGGATTTCAGTCAGTCTGCCTGATCTGCTCCCCACTCTGTATCTGGTGAATCCTCTCACCCCCCCCAACCGCTGCCACTGGCCTACACCCCAGTTCTTGTATGCACACATAAATAAACAAATAAATTCAAAAGACATGCCCTAAGAAATGTAACTTGTTAATAAATAAATGTTAATGAAATTAAATAGGCCGGTGATTTATAATATTCTTTGTCAGATCAGGACAAGAAACACAGTTGAGGTTTTCATGGATTTCTCTTATCTTTCTTCCCTCACCTTTCTCTCAGATTCAGAAAATGTTGGCCATCAGAGCCTTCAACTAAACTGTAAGAGCTGTTGGGGCTGTTGTATTTTAACTAGGGTGAAAGCATTGTTCTTAATGCACTGCATTCATTCAGTTAGTCATTTAGTAGGTAAGTGGGTTCCAGAACCATGCTGCCTGGGTTCAAATCCTGCCACCACTATGGACCAATAATTTAAGTCTCTGTTTCCTTATCTGTAAAATGGATGTAATAGCCAACCAAATAGGAATGTTTGGAGGATTAAATGAGATATGATACATAAAGCTCTTAGGTTGGTGCCTGGCAAATAGTAAGTGCTCAATAAATTTTAGCTACTATACTTACATGCACTTGTCATTGCATTCATTTTGTCTCCAGTCTAGTTCAACTGACCTGGAAACTGAGAGCTATAATTCCTATAAGGGACCTTTTCACTTTGTTTTAAATAGAAATTTTTTACTTATATCTATTTCAAACCAGCAGAATAATGATGCACTATGTATTTTCCTTTGGCACAGAAGCCCAAAAGTAATGCTTTTCTCAACATGCCTGATTAAATCTAAGAAGTCTCTTAGGTAATCAGTTATGCACCAAGCCTGAGCTAGGTAGTGAGTTGGGTATAGAGCTCTTTGAAAGAGCTTTAAAGACAGGCCTTTGGTCTAGGGTAAGGGGTGTAGGGTAAGGGGATGGCAGCACAAGTAATCGGAAGCCCAGGTAATAGGGCAGACAGAGGGTATGCACCAGGTGTCTGAGTGTTATAACAATTAAGAATCCCCTAACTAAACCTTCTTCTTTTCTGAAAGCAAATGAAAAACTTTAAACTTTCCACAAGAAGATAAAGACACATGAACAACCGAACAGGAAACTAGCCACATTTGGAAATAGCACGGCAGTCATAAACTGCGTTACATCTTTTTTCTTTTCCAAATAAAGTCCGAGGTTGTTTGTACAAACATAGCCTTATCTCAAAAAGAAAATACATTGACTTCAAACTTTTCACTGGGTCAGCTTCGTGTTTACATTTCTGTGCTGCACTAATAAGAACACTGTTCAAGAGGTTGAAGTAAAATGCCCCTAAAGTGAAAACATTTGGAAATCATAGCATTTTATTTAGCATCAAAAGAGACCACAGAAGACTAAGGTAGAGTGTGCAGAAGCTAGTGAGTTGTTTTTAGTCAAATTTCATGGAAACCTACACAGCTGCTATTTGTCCTCAAGGTTGATAGAAGGTACTGGAACAACACAGGAAATGCTTTAAGTTGCATAAAAAACAGTTGAAAAATAAACATGCCATGCAAATGGGCCACCCGAAAGATTATCATCAACTCTACGAAGAAAAGCTTCACAGATTGTGAACTAAAGCTCTAGATCTTTTTAAAGTTTCTAAGAGTCTCATTGAATAATCCCACCCATGGGGACCCGACATTTTTTCCCCTTATTTTTGGACTAGAAAATGACAGGAGTACAGGGTGTACCTCGAATTGCATCACAGAGAAAAACAATGTTACATTTCTCGGCTATTCCCTTATTGGTGAAATGATAGCGTTGGACCAGGATTTTGGTTTTCAAACTGTGTTCTGGAAAGTGTCAGATGTCAGGGTCTTTCTGGGACAGAGCCCGCTTTTCCACCTCACCCAACAATCCCATCTCCACTAAGAACCCTGTAAAAGCAAACCACCAGGCTCTGCTACACTGAAGTCCCTATAATTCTGTGCAGACATGTTTGACTTTATTTGGGGAGCTTGGATTTTTGGGAAAATCCTTTGTTCTTTGCTTTCCTATCAATGTTTTTTGAGCATTTACCATGTGCCGACCATGTGCTCAGGACCTGCTATAGATTACGTAATTTAATCCTCACAAATCCCCAGAATTTTTATCCATCTGATAGACCAGGAAACTGAAATGTGGCATGTAAGTTACCAGTCAAACCAAGACAGAAACAAACCTGGAAGGGGCCGTGTTTCACTTTCTGCTTAACCATTTTGCCACTTTGCTCCCGCCTAGCATCTTTCTTATCAGGACTAGTCAAAATGCCAATAATGTAGCCAACCAAATATACAAGCCCCAGGCAATTAGAAGATTTTAATCTCTAGGTCACAGTTCACATCTATTTTCCCAAGATATATGATTAGAAAATTCTTTGAGTTTACTGCGTGGTAAAATGCCTGAGACTGAACGAATTTGGAAGGGGACAAGCAAAAAAGCGAGGTTTACATTCTTTCTCTCCCTTTTGCTCCTCTTTCCTCCTTTTTTCCTTCCCTCCTTCCCCCCTTCCTGTTTTCCTCCTTTCTTCCTCCCTCCCTCACCTCTTTCCTTGAGCAATTTGAGTTCCCTGGCACTCACCCATGTGAATAAACCAGATTCTTAACCTATTATTGTGAACACCACAGTATGTAGTTCCTGACTTGACTTTAGACTAAAAAAGCCTATAGAGGGCCTCCCCGGTGGTGCAGCGGTTGAGCGCTGGGTTGCGAAGCTGCCCGCAGCCTCTGCAGCGCCGGTTCGATCCCCGGCTGCTCCCCGGCCACCGGAGGAGGGTCCCGCATGGCGCGCAGACCTCTCCTGCCTCCCGCTGCTCCCCTCAGCAGTGTACTTCGGTCCTTCTGCCTGCTCTGCTCCCTGCTCTGGCTCTGGTGAATTCTCTCACCCTCCCGCGCTTCTAACTGTACCCACTGCTTGTATAAATAAATAAGTTAAAAAAAAAAAAAAGCCTATAGAAATAGGCACAGATTCAAGTGAGTTGGTTGACCAAGCAGTTTTGGCTTTAAAAGAAGAACCAGGTGGACTTTTAAAAAATGATTAATATCCTCTACCTGCTATTTCATACTTCTAGTTTATAGTTTATAAGCACATAGGATGTATCATGTTTTTAAACATATGTCAGTCTTGCCGTCGAACTGAGAATTATCAAAAATTGCTAAGGCTTGAAAGGTCAACTATTTTCTTCCCCGAAAGTTAGGGAGTGGGCCTGTCAGCCTCGAGTCCTAGCTGCCACTCAGCATGTCAGCAGCAGCACCTCTGGTTCTGAGGTGAGCTCCCTCCTTGGGGTGCGTAGGGGGCTGAAGGTGTGCTCTTAGGCATCCTTGGTACAACCCTTGGTGCCATCATACCCTCTCTTCTCTGGTTTGGGGTGGAGCAAAATTCCATCTCTGTCGTTAATCCCTGCTTCTTTTCTTACCAGCTTACAGTCTCACTTGAAACGTACTGACGTTCTACCTTACTGAATTCTGAACTTCTGTGGCTGACAACAAAGATACATTCTAGAGCAAAAGTGTGTCAGCACTGTCGGCAACCAAGAAGTTGTTAGTGGTCATAAATCCATGGTCTCCTGATGGAACAATCCAATAAGCATAAGAACAGCCTTTGGGACAGAGCGTGTCTGGAGGAGGAACATTTCTGCAGAGATAACTCACCCATACCATGGGGTCCCTGGTGTGCTGGGGTCTTGCCAATTCTCCTTTAAATGCTCGCTGGCTTAAAGAAAATGGCTATCTGACGTAGTCACCAAAATAGACCATGCACTATGCTGGAAAGGAGATGTATGGACATGTCAGTTGGCAAGCTCATGTGCCAGGACAGGATTCGACTCCAAAGCATCTCTTGAATAGCTGCATGAGTCATAGTTTTTCAACAGTAGTAATAGGACTTGATGTTATTAAAAATATTCCATCCTTGTAGTCAATGGTAGTGGGTCATACCCTGACTAATTTTTTTTTAAAGATTTATTTATTTATTTATACAAGAACTGGGGTACAGTCAGAAGCACGGGAGGGTGAGAGAATTCACCAGAGCCAGAGCAGGGAACAGAACAGACAGACCTACGAAAAACACTGCTGAGGGGAGCAGTGGGTGCGGCAGGAGAGGTCTGGCACCATGTGGGACCCTCGCCAGCGGCTGTGGATCGAACTGGCGCTGCAGAGGCTGCGGACAGCTTCGCAGCCCAGCACTCAACAGCAGCACCACCAGGGGAGGCCTGACTAATTTTTCTTTTTAAGATTTATTATTTATGACTACAAGAACTGGGGTACAAGTCAGAGGTGTGGGAGGTGAGAGGAACCACCAGAGACAGAGCAGGGAACAGAACAGACAGATAGACCAAAGTACACTGCTGAGGGGAGCTGTGGCCAACTCAGGAGAGGTCTGCGCGCCATGTGGGTATCTCCCTGGCTGGGGATCGAACTCACGTTGCTGAGGCTGCAGACAGCTTCACAGCGCTGTGCTCAACCCCTTGCGCGACCAGGGAGACCCATACACTGACTAACTTTGTGAAAGAAAAAACACTAGTCATAGATTATTCCAGTCCAAAGAAGCCTTGAGAGATGGTCCTTAAATGGATTAGGCCTTTACTACTTTACAAAATAGACCATCCT